CACATCCCCCCGCCCACCCGTCCACACTTGGCTTTCTCGCCGATGGCCAAAGCGCATGCTCCGCCCCTGAAACGGTCCCAAGGCGCTCACGCTTCTGCCCTCCTGGGGGCTAGTGCGCATGTGCAGCTGCTTACTGCCAGCCCTTCGCACGGAAATACTAATGCGCATGAGCAACGGCGCGCGGACCAATTCGTTCCCGCATAACAAATAAAACCCTCTCTGGGGGCTAGTACGCCGGCGCAAGCGCACGCGGGCCTCTTTAAACACCAACATTCTCTGTAAGAAAGCTTCCATCCCCACCATTGGGCCGAGTGCGCATGCTCGGGAGCGCGCCGACGCGCGAGTTCCCTCTTCTGCGCCTGCGCGACCGTGATCCCTCACTCTCGCCTCCCCACCCCCCCACTCAGGCCTGGTCGTGAAGGCCGCGAGCTTCGAAAGGGCGGGAAAGGCAGTTGGAGCCGGAGGGACGAGCGGTTACTCACTCCATGGCTGCGGAAAAGAGAGGCAGCAGCGGCCTCGGCTGAAGAGAGAAGGCGGGAGTGGAGAGCGCAGGCGCGGTGAGCGCGGAGAAGGGCCGGGGGCACGGAGGGGTCGCGGCTACAGAGCCATGGCGGGGCTACGCGGGCGGAGGCGGAGGCGGAGGCGGAGGCGGAGGCGACGAAACCCGGGAATTATAAGGTGGAGGAAGATCTGCCTCCTCTGGAGAAGGGGAAGAACCTGGGCTTTGGACAGTGTCTCCCTTGGGGCTGGTGCCTTCCTTTTCGGGATTTCCCTGGGGGCTGGCTCCCCCTTTCTCACTCCCTCTGGGGCCAGCTACTAATATTCGGGCCCCAATCTGCAGAGCACAATTTTTTAACCCCAGTGGGGGATTCTGAACTAAGTCTAAACATTTATCTATGTAGGAAAATTGATCCGGGTCCCCGGGGTCCCCGGTGACTATATTCCAAACCCCCAACAGGCCGGCGGGCCTGGCCCCCTCCTCCTCTCGGGGCTCCGGCCCCTTCCTCCTTCGGACCCCAAGAGTTCGGCCCGCTCCTGTCTCCGGCCTAGGATCCAGCTCCCTTTTTCTTCCGACCCCGAGGGCTCTGGCCCTCCCTTCCCTGTGGCTCTGGGGTCCGGCCCCCTCCCTCCCTCCCTCTCCCCTCCCATAGTCCCGTCTTCTGCTCCTTTTGACCCAGCGGCCTGGTTTCTTCCTTTGCTTCGCGGATTTCCGGCCAGCCCCATGCTGGTGTCTTAGTCCCGCGTGAGTCACAGACCTGCCATGGTGGCCCTGGGAAAATAACCGAAATCCTCGGGCCTCAAATAGGTAGGGAACTGCCTGCAAAAGGAGAATAAGCAGCTGTGCCTGATGAGGTGGTTTGTGAGAATCAAATAAGTTGATGCTCGGGAAGCCCCACGCACAGAGCCCAGCTCATACATGTCCGTTCGACGTATTTTATTATCAGTGGGGACTCCGGGGCCCCCACTCTCACCCCACCCCCACCCCCACCGCGGCGAGCGCCCCGGGCAGACACGTGGTGTTGTTAATCCTGACCCGAGGATATTTCTTCCCATTGATTTTTAGAGAGCGTGGAAGGGAGGAGGAAAAGAGAAAGAAATATCAATGTGAGCCCTAGCCGGTTTGGCTCAGTGGATAGAGCGTCGGTCTTCGGACTGAGGGGTCCCGGGTTCGATTTCGCTCGGGGGCATGGACCTTGGTTGCGGGCACATCCTCAGTAGTGGGTGTGCAGGAGGCAGCTGATCGATGTTTCTGGCTCTCTATCTCCCTTCCTCTCTGTAAAAAATCAATAATATATTAAAAAAAAAAAAGAAATATCAATGTGAGATAGACACATGGACTGATTGCCTCCCACCCGAGTCCCAACCTGGGCCGGGAATCAAATCTGGGACCCTTGGGTGCTGGACCGACATTCTACCCACTGAGCCACACAGGCCAGGCAGGGCAAGAACCTCAGAGGACCCTTCTTGCGTGTGATTCACTCTAAGCTGGCAATTTTCAGCCATCCCACCGTCACCCGTTCCAGATGTTGTGTGTTCAGCCCCGTCTTGACCCACAGGTGCAGGGAATCGGGCATCCTCGCCCCCACTCCACCCTTTTCACCGTCCACTGCCCACCTTCCCGTAGCACTGCCCTCGGGCTAGGTGGTTCCTTCTGCTGCTCCTGCTCCTCACCCTGACTTCCTGAGATGCCCCCCACTGGGTTAGTCTCACAACCCTGCCCCAAACAGGGAGATCTGTACCTCCGTTTGTAACAGAGGGAGCGTCCTCGCCATTCCTTCCCTGCGTGCTGGGCCCTCCACCATCCCGAGTGGATGCAGGTCTTTCCTCTGCGGCAGAAACTTCTCTTTCCCGCCCTGAATCTGTCCACGTCAGGACGTTACACCTGGAGTTCAGCCTTCATCACTTTTATGGCAGTTACGGGACTGAATCAAAATCCAAAGAAGTGGGGGAGCCCTAATCCTGAGGGTTATGTGGGGAGTAAAGACATGCAGGCTTCTCCCCCTCCCCCCTTCTCTAAACATGCAGGGAGTCCTTGGGCTCTGACACTTTCCCGCAGAGCACTTACTGTCCACTCTGCCAGTATTTGCGCACTTGCTCGATATTTCCTTGAGTTGGTAGAGGCTACATTATCAC